CATTGATTATCGTGAGCTGAATAAAGTGACTATCAAGAACAAGTACCCACTACCTCGCATTGATGATTTATTCGATCAACTTCAGGGTGTTAGCTATTTATCAAAAATTGATTTGAGATCTGGCTATCATCAGTTGAAAGTACAAGAGCAAGATGTACTGAAGACTGCTTTCCGTACTCGTTATGGGCATTTCGAATTCCTTGTCATGCCATTCGGTTTGACAAATGCTCCTGCTGTATTCATGGATATGATGAATCGAGTGTGTTGCCCAATGCTCGATAAGTCTGTCATCGTATTCATTGACGATATTCTAATCTATTCCAAATATGAAGCCGATCATGTCGTTCATATTCGTGAAATCTTAGAACTTCTTCGAAAGGAGAAACTTTATGCTAAATTCTCGAAATGTGAATTTTGGCTCCGTCAAGTTCAATTTCTCGCCCATATTATTTCTAGTAACGGTGTATCTGTAGATCCCATCAAAATCGAAGTCATTCAAAATTGGGAAGTGCCCCATAATGCTTCCGAAATTCGAAGTTTTTTAGGTCTCGCAGGATATTACCGGAGATTCATTAAAGACTTTTCTCGTATAGTCGTACCCCTCACAAGCCTTACACGGAAGGAAGTGAAGTTCGAATGGGGTGAAGATCAAGAAAAAGCTTTCTCAACTCTAAAAGATCTTTTGACTCATGCTCCCATCTTATCACTCCCAGAAGGTGATGATGATTTCTCCGTATATAGCGATGCTTCAAGATTGGGACTCAGTTGTGTGTTGATGCAGCGTGGTAAAGTGATAGCCTATGCCTCAAGACAACTGAAAAATTATGAAAAGAATTATCCCACCCATGATCTTGAACTCGCTGCAGTAGTATTTGCCCTAAAACTTTGGAGACATTACCTTTTTGGTACAAAATGCCAATAGTATATATTCAATCAGCAAACTCTGAATATGAGACAACAAAGAGCCATGGAGCTGATCAAAGACTATGATTGTGAAATCATGTACCATCCTGGAAAGGCTAATGTGGTTGCAAATGCACTTAGCATGAAAGTTTATCGTAATAGTATCTGTTATACTATTACTCACACTACGGTGAAGTTCACCATTCTTGATGAACTACAGAAGTGGCAAGTTGAAGCCTTAAAGCCAGAAAATGTAAAGAAGGAAGGAATGGTACATTATGCCGATGTTTTACTTGATGATCCACAAGGATTAAAAGTATTTAAGAATCGGCTATGGATTCCAAAGATTGGTGGATTAAGACAGAAGATTTTATATGAAGCTCATAAATCTAAACTATCAATACATCTTGGTACAAGTAAAATGTACTATGATGTAAGAGCTGATTATTGGTGGCCTGGATTAAAGAAAGACATTGGAAGATATGTACAGGAATGCTTAGTATGCTTACAAGTCAAAACAGAACACCAAAAGCCTTATGGAACTCCAGAAAGCCTTAGTGTTCCTGTATGGAAGTGGGAAGAGCTGTCCATGGATTTTATTACCAAATTGCCAAAGACTGCTAGACAGAATGATAGCATTTGGGTAATCGTCGACCGTCTGACTAAGAGTCCACATTTTCTCTCCATGCGTGAAACGGCTCCAATGGAGAAATACGCACAGGTATACTTGGATGAAATTGTTGCAAGACATGGTGTGCCACTAAAGATCATTTCCGATCGCGATACTCGCTTCACTTCTCACTATTGGGCGAGTATGCAATGCGAATTGGGATCTCAAGTTACTCTCAGTACCGCTTATCATCCTCAGACAGATGGTCAGACATAGAGAACAATCCAGACAGTAGAAGATATGCTTCGTGCATGTGTTTTGGAGTTCGGTGGTAACTGGGATAAATACTTACCACTTGTCGAATTTTCGTATAATAACAGTTACCACACTTCAATCAAAATGCCACCATATGAAGCATTATATGGTCGCAAATGCCGTACGCCGTTATGTTGGCGTGATGTAGGATAGAAGATCCTTGGAGGCCCTGAAATGATTCAAGACACCACCGACAAGATTCAAATCGTACGAGAAAGAATGAAAGCGACCCATGATCAACAGAAGTCCTATACGGAAAAGAGAAGACGACCTATAGAATTTCAAGTGGGTGATTTCGTGATGCTGAAGGTATCCCCATGGAAAGGCCTTATGCGATTTGGGAAGAAAGGAAAGTTGAGTCCTAGATTTGTTGGTCCTTTCCAAATCATCCAGAGAATCGGAAAGCAAGCTTATCGCTTAGAATTGCCTAAAGATTTGGCGGGTATTCATGATGTATTTCATGTAAGTTATCTGCACAAATGCATGAGCATCTACGATGAGACAGTTCCATTATCCGAAGTGAAATTGGATAATAAGTTAAGATATGTAGAAGAGCCTGAAGAAATCGTGAATGAAAGAACAACTAAGCTACGCAATAAAGTAGTAGAATTAGTGCTTGTCAAGTGGAAACACCATCGTGGCCCAAACTATACTTGGGAGAATAAGAATGAGATAAAAGCAAAATATCCCCATTTATTTTAATCGATGTAATTTCGGGGACGAAATCCTTAAAAAGGAGGAGGTATTTGTAACATACATGTTTTAAAATCGTGTTTTGTAATGAATAAAATTGTGAAATATTATGTAAAATTGAGTGTTGAGTTCTAACAGATGGTTTTTACTAGAAATGAAGTAAAACTATGTTTAGAATCACTTAGAAAATATTGGAATTCTTATGAGATTCCAATTAAAAGCCAAATAGTGAAATTTAGCGAAAATATGAAATTTTAAATAAGTAAAATTTTATTATTTGATGTTGTAGAGAATCTCATTAGAAAATTGTAGGCGAAAACCTCGTCAAAATCCGAGTTATAACGAAGAAGTTATGACCAACCGAAGATCCGTGACAAAATCGGCACGGCGCCGAATGACGTAAAAAGTGAGTTTTTGATAAACTACCTTTTAGCTTTAGTAATTTAAATGAAAGTCGTAGTATTCGTTAAACCGAGAAATTCGATAAAAAGAACGCCAAAATCTGACTTCATATGAGGAAGTTATGATTTTTACAAGTTTCAACTTAGCAGTAGATAGCTAAAAACTCGAATTTTAGATCGAGCGATATTTTACCGATACATCCTAAACAAGAATCGAAGGTCTCGTCATATGTAGTACAACGGTAAAAAGTCTGAAGAAAACGGATGTCGGATGAAGTTATGAATTTTTAACAGATTTTCCTGTCCCGGTCTGTTAAAAATAATAATATTAAAATTAAATTCAAAATTAGCCGACAAAGTCTAAATGAAAGTTGTAGAGCGAAATTTTAGCTACGCGTGCATATAAAGAACGTCAAAAACGGAGCTGGTATGCGAAAGTTATGGATTTCAGAAGTTTGGGGCACAAAAATCAAAAAATTTCGCACGAATAGTGCCCGGACACGTCACTCGCACGAAGCAGCATTGTCACCGGAGACGTGGCCGAACCGAGAAGATTCACGTGTCGCGAGCTGAGTGCACCGAGGTGCGAGCAAATCCGGATCCGACGTGCGCTTCGCCAGCGAGTTGCTTCGCTGCTTGCTTCCGACACGTGTTCTTCCCTGATTCGCCGAAGCCAAGGTCCAGCAGGAGCGAGACACGCCTCGCCTACCAGCCTCGCAGCCGAACCTCGCATCGGAGCCTCCCCTCTCGCGCCACATGCTTCGCTCCGCTGCTGCCACCGAGCTTCGCTTCTTAGCTGACTTCCGAACCTCGGCCCTATATAAAGGGAGCTGCGAACTCTTCCAACTAACTTTGAAAATTTGCCACTTTTAGCCCCTCTTTCCATATTTTCTTCATATTAACTTTCCCAGAGCCTCGAAATCAATTTTAGCACCCGAAACACGTTCCGAGACCCCCGAGAAGCCCAGAAATTTTATCTTTTCGGTTTTGAAGCCCTACCTTCGCAGAGCCCGGTTTTCAATTAAGCTCCCGGTTTTCAACATTGAAAGGCATATTTAAAGCCGAAGTGCTATCCAAATTACTATTTTAACCCCCGGTTAACATAAGGTGAGTTCAATATATAGGAACAATTGTATGTTATGTGTTATATGTGCTATGTGCTTTTCAGTATTATCATTCTGAGTTATTTTCTCGTGTTATTCGCTATGTTTATAGCAATTGTAATACCTTTGACCATGTGATCAGTGAAAGGACTTAGATTCACATTGGTACTGGTACGTAGCCTCTGGCCATGTAGAGCATGTCTCCGTAAGAGAATGACTTCTATTCTATGGCATTGGAAAATGGTTAGACAGGACTTAAAGCCTGAAATCTAACAAGATGTTAATCAGAAATTGCATGTCATCTATGCCATTTGGGCCAAAGCTTTATTGATGTATATCAAGAATTGAAAAGAATATCTTTGAATAATGTCTTTGATTGATATGAACGCTTGTCACATGATCTCACATACATCTTGTTGTTCCTCTTTACTTTGCCACATTGAAGTATATATATATGGCATAACATTATATTGTATCTATTTTTGAACTCACTAAGCGTCACCGCTTACCTTATCAATGTTTAACAATTGCAGGTGATAAATAAATAGTATGTTTACATACTATTGTAAGATGTAGAATAGTTTGTAATAGTACTTATGTACTACTTTTTAGTTTTGTATAAATTACAATATCCTGGGTAGTTATGTAATATATATATATATATATAACACTTTGTAATAGAAGGTTTGTATCCAATAGTTTTGTAAATCCTTTATATCAATGTAATATATTGCTTTTATGAATATGCAAATAGTATGTTTTGGAGTAATGATAATGTGAAATATGAAAGTTTGGGTCTTTCAAACAAAAAACGAAAGTTGGGGTCTTTCACTCCACTTCGAGTAAAGTGTATCGGGGTTGCGGTCCTTCTTATTCATGCGGTTGCAAAAGTTATTCCAAACTTTTTTTTAAAGGTTGTTGAGTCTTGGTCAATCCCGTGGATCAGGTCCTCCGACACATCTAGCCATGATTGAGCTAGTGCCCTTTCTTCATCATCCATCCACCCTCTACTTTTAGCCCTCCATTTTTCCTTTTTTGTGCGTGTTGTTCCACTTCGGGCTCTTGAAAAAATGCTTGAACTAGATATGCAACGGGGGCTTCATCAGAAGAATCGGATGACTCGTCGAGTAGGTGGCGTGGTTGAGTTTGAAAGTCAGTTTGCTGTTGGGGTTGAGAAAAGAATTGAGTTTCTTTAACCAATTCAAACGGATCAAGATCCATATCCGGACGAGGTGTTAGTTGAGATTGGTTGTGGTAAAATCCCATTGGTTGAGAAGAAAAATGATTAAATGGAAACATTTGCGGAGCCATTGTAGGAAACTAGAAGTTAGAAGGAGACTGAATTGGTGGATCAAATGATGGTCGATAACATGGTGGTGATGGAAGGTTTGTTGATTGAGTGCTTGGAGTTGGAAGGTGTAGTGATGGAAGGTTTAAAGATTTTTTTGTTGGTTCCTAGGTTTTTCTTTGTTTGAGATGAAGACATGATTCTTTGGTGAATTGAAAGAGAATGTTTGTGAGAGATATGATTTTTTGTGTGTAAATTGGTGAGAGTGTGTTTGACTTATATTAGTTGAGTATATATATGATGGGTTTTGGTCATATGAACATTCCTATGTGCACATACAAACCCTAATGCTTGGATCTAGGTTTCTCTAATTAAACATGCATTGAATCCAAGACTTCTAATGGCTAATTAGGTATAAGAACAATACAAAACCAGAGTTAGAAGCTTACCTTGAAACACTTGTTTGATCTTCTTGTTCTTGGAGCTTTAGAGTCACAATTATCACTCCTCTAATGGCTTACAAACACCAACTAGAAAAGAGAATGATTTAGGAGAGAGGAGAGAGTACGAAATCGGTCAGGGTTTCCTTGCTGAGGTGCCGATTCCCCTATCCCAAGGGGTCTATTTATACTTGTAAGGCTCCTAGGGTTTCACCCTTAAACCTTAATTGGATAACTTAAACTCTAAGCAATCCTAATCCTTTCCTTAGATAGCCTTGGACGATTTGAGGCTTATCCTAGCCCTAGAAATCGTCCAACCCTATCCTTAAGGATTTACAGCCCAAAGTGTAACTATCAAACAATTGACAGTTTATACCCTCTTATTTAATTAATGTCTTTAAGTCACTAAACTAATACTAATTAATCTATGACTTATATTAATCAAATAACAATATTATTATTCTTATATTATTCTCATAATATATTAATAATATCTATTCTCTCATAATAAATCATCCTGCCAAGTTGCTATGGTGAAGGCAACCCAAAAGGACCATGCACAATCGGGTCAAATACTTGCCTAATATAGTTGCAGCCTTAGACACTATTCCAACAGTCTCCCACTTGGATAAGTCTAGTAACTATATGCACAAGTACAATCCGATTTGCAATCGTAGCTCTCAAAGACGCTGTCAAACTCTGATCTAATCAATCTTGTCCTTTAGATAAGGGATCGTACAGTCCTCTGTTAGATATCATGCTGACAATTCTATGGAATAATTAGTCTAGCATTTGGTTTCTCGATCTCCGATTTATTTGACATAGAACTTAATCGAACACATCAATTCAGTTCTGACCGGGCCCGCACATAAGTCAAATCAAATCATCGAGCGGCCGAGATATCGCTTTTTCCTTCTTAGGATAAAAGTTACAGATAAACTTCGACTTATATGCATTTACTTATTCATTAATCAACTATACACAACAATGCGTTTTATAACATCGAGTTACCAATGCGTTTTCGCATTATCAATGTACAATCAATTAACAAATAACAAACCATATATCTAGGTTTTAAGACTATATGATATTATCGTCTTGCGATCACCCTTTTTATCACATTCCATAAGGTGATTCCAGCAAGCGCGGGTTTGTTCCAATGCTCAAAACTAGTTCATAAGCACTCATGAACGTTGCAACAATCTTTTGCTATGTCTAATACCATTTAGACAATCTACACACCTATTCATGACAATCTTCATTCATATCTACTTCCGACATATGAACGATTGTGGACAATTTGAATAATTCGATTATTCTTAATAAACTCAATTATTCTGGAAGTCAAAACATGCAAAGTGAAACAATAGTTAAACAATTAACATAAGACAGTAACATTACTTATAAATAAAACTCCTTTATTTAATCATCAAATGTTAATTACATTTATCTATTACACGTTTCTAATACTATCTAATCTATGCTAATATCATCCTTCAGCCCAATACTCCTAGCATGCTGCAAGTGCTTAACCCTACTCAGTCCCTTCGTAAGCGGATCTGCTGGGTTATCTTCTGATGATATCCTCTTCACTACGAGTTGTCCTTCTTCTACACGATGTCTAATAAAGTGATATTTTCTGTCGATATGTCGTGATCTACCATGATCTCTCGGTTCCTTGGTCAAGGCAACCGCTCCTTCATTATCACAGAAAATCTCCATGGGCTCCTTTATGGCAGGTACAACTCCAAGATCACCAATGAAGTTCTTCAGCCATATTGCCTCCTTCGACGCTTCGCTCGCTGCAATGTACTCTGATTCGCACGTTGAATCAGCTACGGTTTCCTGCTTGGAACTTTTCCAAGTCACTGCTCCTCCATTCAGGGTAAAGACCCAGCCGACTGCGAACGGTAGTTGTCCCTGTCGGTTGAAAGCTGGCGTCACTATACCCTCGCACCTTCAAGTCATCACTCCCTCCGAGGACTAAGAACCATTCCTTCGTCCTCCGAAGGTACTTAAGGATATTCTTCACCGCAATCCAATGGGCTCTGCCAGGGTTCCCTTGATATCTACTAACCATGCTCAAAGCAAAGGCTACATCAGGGCGAGTACAAGTCATAGCGTACATGATTGAGCCAACTGCGGAAGCGTATGGAACTCGGCTCATTTCAGCTATCTCAGCTTCGGTACTCGGACTTTGAGTCTTACTCAACTTGGCATTACTTTGTATCGGTAATTCTCCCTTCTTCGAGTTTTCCATACTAAAACGTTTTAGTACCTTCTCTAAGTAAGTGTTCTGACTAAGTCCTATTAGTCTCTTACTTCTTTCTCTTACTATCCTTATTCCCAAAATATAGGAAGCCTCTCCGAGGTCCTTCATAGCGAAGCACTTCCCGAGCCAGGACTTAACCTCCTGCAGAGTCGGGACGTCGTTTCCTATGAGTAATATGTCATCGACATATAGAACGAGGAAGCTTACTATACTCCCACTGGCTTTGACATATACACACGATTCATCTTCGCTTCGTACAAATCCAAACTCTTTGACTTTCTCATCGAAGCAAAGATTCCATCTGCGAGACGCTTGCTTAAGTCCATAAATGGACTTCTCAAGCTTACACACTCTATTCGGATGCTTCGGATCCACAAACCCCTCTGGCTGAGCCATGTAAACATCCTCAGCCAACTTCCCGTTAAGGAAAGCGGTCTTGACATCCATTTGCCAAATCTCATAATCATGAAATGCGGCAATAGCTAGCATCACTCTAATAGACTTTATCTTCGCAACTGGTGAGAAGGTCTCATCATAGTCAACTCCGGGAGTTTGAGTAAAGCCCTTCGCAACCAATCGCGCCTTATACGTGTGTACTTTTCCATCCACGTCGGTCTTCTTCTTGAAGATCCATTTGCACCCAACGGTCTTACGTCCGGGCACATTATCAACCAAATTCCAAACTTGGTTATCATACATGGATTGGATCTCGCTATCCATTGCCTCTTTCCATTTTCAGACTCTGGGCCTGCCATGGCTTCCTTATAGCTATTAGGTTCATCAAGGTTTATTAGTGTACTATCACTAATATACGTGTCCCCTTCGGTAGTAATATGAAAACCATACAACTGGGGTTGAACTCTAACTCTTTCGGAACGTCTAAGAGGTAATGATACGTCAATCGGTTCAACCGGAGTTTCCTCCTCGGGTTGAGCGCCAGCGGTAGAGGTTCCTTCATCTATCGACTCTTGAATCTCTTCAAGCTCGATTTGCCTCCCACTGTCTCCTTGGCCTATGAGTTCTCGCTCTCGGAAAACTCCTCTCCTCGCAACAAAGACAACATTGTCCTTCGGTCTATAGAAGAGATATCCAAAGGATTTCTGCGGGTAGCCGATGAAAATACATCGCTCACTACGAGGTTCGAGCTTGTCGTGAGTATCTCGTCTTACGAAAGCCTCGCAACCCCAAACCTTGATATGTGCTAACGAAGGAGCTTTCCCCGTCCACATCTCGTGAGGTGTTTTGGCAACCTTCTTAGTAGGGACTCGGTTAAGGATATGGGCGGCAGTCTCTAAGGCATACCCCCAAAAAGAGATAGATAGCGAAGCACGACTCATCATAGAGCGAACCATGTCCAACAAGGTTCGATTACGCCTTTCTGCCACACCATTCAATTGCGGTGTCCTAGGTGGCGTCAATTGTGAAACTATTCCACACTCCTTGAGATAATCGTGGAATTCAAGACTTAGGTACTCTCCTCCTCGATCGGATCGAAGCATCTTGATTTTCCTGCCCAATTGATTCTCCACTTCATTCTTGAACTCTTTGAACTTTTCAAAAGTTTCTGACTTTTGCTTGATTAAGTAGATATACCCATATCTACTATAGTCATCGGTAAAAGTCACGTAGAAGCGGTTTCCATCCTTCGTGGTAGATCTAAACGGTCCACACACATCGGTATGTATGAGGTCCAATAGACCCTCACCCCTTTCGCACGTACCAGCGAAGGGTGACTTAGTCATCTTTCCAAGTAAACAAGACTCGCATGTGTCATCTTCCCTAAGGTCGAATGACTCCAACACTCCATCCTTTTGGAGTTGGGCTATGCGTTTCTTGTTGACATGTCCAAGACGACAATGCCACAAGGATGCCTTATCCATACTATTGGAAGAATCCATGCATAAAACATCATTTCCTAAGTTATCAACAATCATAACAGTTTCATAAATTCCATTACATGGTATAGCTTCAAAATAAAAGACACCATTCAGATAAGCAAAATAGAACCATTCTCATTATTAAAAGAAAATCTAAAACCTTGTCTAAACAAACCATGAAATGAAATGATGTTTCTAGCCATTTCTGGCGAATAGCAACAATTGTTAAATCTAAAGATAAACCATTCCTAAGCACTAAAGAATACACTCCAATCTTGGTCACAGGCGACGATCTTCTGTTCCCCATGATTAGATTTATTCTTCCATGCTCCACGTCTCTATTTCTTCTTAGTCCCTGCACATTAGAACAAATGTGGTAACCACAACCGGTATCAAGAACCCAAGAAATATCATGAGATGAATCGTTAGATTTA